ACAAAAAAATTTTTGCGGTAAAAATTGAATGAAAACAAAAATTTTCACACCCACACACACATCGCCAAACAACAAAAACAACGCCCCCATACTTTAAAAAACAACACCACATAGAACAACACCACTCTTTCTTTCTTTCTCTCTCTCTCTCTCTCTCTCTCTCTCTCTCTCTCTCTTTCTTCCTCTCTCTCTCTCTCTCTCACACATACACATACACACACACATAGAATACACACATATCAGCATCATAAAAACACACATACAACACACACACACACAAACACACACATAAATTCAAACACACACAAACAAAAACCCGCACGCACGCACACACACACACACACACAAACACAAACATACAAACGAAAAAAAATTATCAAACCTTTTTAATGTAAAATTGTTGCAGGCAGAAATGATGGATGGATGAAAACAACGTGCACATCCTAGCCAAGTTCTCTTCGTAAATATCATCTATTAAGTGAAAGAGAGAAAAAGAATTAAATGTTTGGTGGTATTTGCATTTGTGTGTGTATGTGTGTATTTGTGCCTAATTGTATGAATGTGTATACGTCTAAATAATGCACGCTTATATAATCATGATCTTTGTTGTTCACATAAAAATTTTTCGGTAAACAGACATACAAACAAAACTAACGCCCACACATACAACACACACGTACATACACACATACATACATACACACACAAAATATACACACATAAACAGAGAAAAAAGAAAGGAGGAAAGAGAGAGAAAGAGAGAGAGAATAAGAAAATGAAAAACTTGATTAAAAAAATTCACGTATAGATGGTTTCTTAAATGAGCTAAAAATTGAAAAGTTGAACGAATTAAAGAACAAGCGAACGAGCGGGCGAATGAATAAATAAATAATTGAATGAATGAATGGATGAATGAATGAATGAATGTGTGCGCGTGCGTGTTTGTATGTGCGTGTGCGTCCGTGTTGTTGACATGTCGCAGGAATAATTTAAAAAGAATTAAAAAATAATAATAATGAATGGATGAATGAATGAATGGAATAACGATGATTGATTAATTGAACGAGAGAATGAACGAATGGTCGAACAGACATATAAATGAAAAATTTGAACGAATGAATGAACTCGTAGAAAATGAATGAGTGAGTGAAAGAAAGAATGATTGGAAGAGTTTATTACAAAATGTGCAATGAATGAATGAATGAACGAACGAACGAATGAATGAATCCATGAATGAATAAATGAATGAATGAATCAATCAATCAAACAACCAATCAATCAACCAATCCATCAATCAATCAATAAAGTTAGCACCTATATTTTTGGTGAAGCATATGACTTCATTTTCAATGTTTTTCATTTCGTCATAACCGTAATCTGTCCACCATTTTACCTCCCTATGTATAAATGAATGAAAGAACGAACGAATGAATGAACGAATGAACAAACGAATGAACGAACGAATGAACGAACGAATGATAAATAAATAAACAAGTAAAAACATTGAGAAAAAAAAAACAAATAAAAAAACACGAACAAATAAAAAATCGAAAAAAACCAAAAAAATCCACTTTAGTTTGTTAATGGTCTGAATTCTTTGTCCGTTGAGATTAGCTTGATGTTTAATGACCAACTGCAGAAGCATCTGAGGTTCCATAGGGTTCCTATAAGGCTCACTCCTCATCGTACCCCTTGTATTTTCAATAACTATTGTCTTATTCCTAGCCAGTACTATCATAAGCATCATCAGCTTAATCATTGTCGTCGTCATCACCATCATCATTGTGAATATTTTTTAATGGACATAAAAACAACAACAACTACTACAACAACTACTACTACAACAACAACAACTACTACTACTACTAAAACAACAACTACTACAACAACAACAACAACTACTACAACAACAACAACTACTACTACTACTACAACCAAACTAACACAAATTCCCTAAGAACCAAATCCATCTTGAATTTTTTCCACTTTTCCACAGCGTCAACCCATTCCCCAAACAATTCTTGGACTAGGAGAACATCATCAGACCTCATGTTTGATAGTATCATGATATATTGGCGTTTGTTCGATAGGATAGTTTTGTTTATGGCCTGTACGTGTTTGTGTGTGTGTGTGCGTGTGTGTGCGCGTGTGTGTACGTGTTTGTATGTATGTGTGTGTTATCATCATTTCATCAATATAATTAAGATTATTGACATTACTCTAAACAAAGCCAGAGTCGTAAATACCAACATCATCGTCATCATCAACATCATCGTCATCATCATCATTACCACCACCACCACCACCACCACCATCATCATCATCACCAACGTCATCATCACCATCATCATCACCATCGTCAACACCATCGTCATCACCATCATTATCATCATCATCATCATCACTAGGACGGCCAGCCAGCCATCAATCAAAACCAACTTGACTCTCGAACGTTATAATTCGATCGATGTCTGGTGTCGTTAGGTACCCTACCTCCTCCAATTGCGTCCTACACTCCTGTAATATCAATCTTGCCTGACAGACAATACTTCGGTATTAGTATGGCTAGGAAATATGGAAAATGATAAATTTTGGAGAAAGAGAGAAAGAGAAAGAGAGAGAGAAAAAGAGAGAGAAAGAGAGACAGGTAGAAAGGAAGATAGAGAGAGGGAGAAAGAAAGAAAAAGAAAGAAGAGAAATGTAAAAGAGAAATGGAGTGATGAACGAAAGTCAATTTTTTTAAACATAATATCAAAAAAGAGAGTTAGACATATAGATAGGAGACCAAAGAAAGAGAGAAAAAAAGAGATGAAAGATAAATATAGGAAGAAAATGAAAGAGAAAACGCATAACAAACAAAAATTAAAAGATTTTTTTCCAAAAAACCAAAAATGAATCGGAAACAAGACAACTAAACGAACTTTATTAACTCTCAGACATTCAACATCGCGCATCTCCTCTTCAAACTTCATCATCTCTTCCTCTCTCTTTTCACTCTCTCTTCTCACTTTCGACCAGATATCGTCAAGTTGTTTCATGTTCAGACAGTCCAACGTCTAGGAATGTACGTGTGCGTGTGTGTACATGTATGTACGTGTGTGTGTGTATGTGTGTGTGTACGTGTGTGTGTATATATACCGAAGAATGTGTTGTGAAATAGAGTTTGGATTTGTGTCTGTGTATTGTGTATTTGAAAAATAATGTTATAAAGCAAAACAAACCAACTAGATAAAACAAAAACAACAAAAACAACAACAGCAACAACAACAAAAAAAAGAAAACATCAAAGGCAAAAAGCAGACATCGTCATTGTTGAGATCTCCAATCAGACTCTTAACGAAGACATGACTTTCTGCCATTACGGATACCAGCCTATTGGAGCACCTTTCTACCGCCAACATCATTTCCTGTTTAAATTTACACGTACGCTTACACACACACACACACACACACACACACACACACACACATACATACATACATACATCCCATACACTGATGAAGAGAAACAGTATAGTGTACATATACATTCAATTCATTCTACTACTACTCATAAATATAGTCACACGCACACAAACATGCACACACAAAGACACACGCAGACACACACAAACACACATATATATATATATACATACAAGTTATTGTTTGTTTGCTTTTCTTCTTATTAATATTATTAATTGAAACCTGACTGATGTCCGTAAGATGAGATGCCATGTTGTTTAGAACGGCACCGTGTCTGTAAAACACAAACAACAACAACAACAATAAAAATAATAATAAAATTATTATAAATAATAACAATAATTTAGTAACAATAACAATAAAACTATAATATTTTATTATTATTTGTAATGAATTGAAGGCTACAACTTGGCCGATTTCATATTTTTGACACGTTCAAGTATGTTGTCTCGTCTGGAGGATGATTCCTGCTTTACTGAATTATTATTATCGTTATAATTAAAATTAATTATGTTAATCATATAATTATAAAATTACTACTAATACTACTACTCTTACTACGACGACGACAACAACAACAACAACAACAACCAACAACAACAACTACTACTACTACTACTACTACTTCTACTACTACTACTACTACTACTACTACTACTACAACTACTACTACTACTTCTACTACTACTACTATTATTTATAATAATAATACCTATAATATAATATAATAACAATAATAGAGAATAAACTAGACAATAATTAATATCGTAAAGGAATGCACAGAAATACCGATATAGCGAACCGATAATATCGGGCAAAGACGACACTTTCCTGCGAACTTTCCTCAATTCATCATCTCCGTCACCATCAGTGACGTCATAGTCGTCGTCACCAACGTAGCACTTCCTGTTGGTTTATTTTAAAATCATTCCAGTTTTTCGTTACGTAATAATATTACCGTACTGTAGAAATTTTTTTTACTTTGGTGGTGCTAGCAGGATCTTTGGCTCCCTAGCGACACTCTTCAATGAACTCCACTTTTCTTCTATCTCCGATTTTGATTTCATTAAACTTGACACTAACTGAACCTGGGGATAAAAATAATAATAATAACAATAATAATAATAACAATAATAATAATAATAACAGCAATAATATTAACAAAATAATTATAAATAACTTACTTCGGCGTCAAACATTTGCCTGTAAACCTTGCCACTAGCCACATTTCGCTGGTATGTCTTGTTACAATCAGTCAGATTGCATATCATTTTATTTTTATTATTATTATTAAACAATTATTGAATAAAACTAATTATTTTATTAAATATATTAATTACAGACGGAGCACAATGAATCAACATTCAATTCAATTTCAATACTAATACTCCAATAAGCGGTAAAAGATTAAAACATCCAAAACAGCAAAATATAGTTATAATTGAGTATAATTAATATAATATTATAATTATAATTATTACAAAAGAAAATTGAAAAGAGTTCCCCTCTTAAAGTTTTTTGTTAGAAGGTGTTTCCATGCCAACGATTTTAAACAGCCTAGGACGCGTTCTAGTATTTTCAAGAAAAAAAAACAAAACAAATTTATTATTATTATTGTTGTTATTATTAGCAGCAGCAGCTTTAGCAGCAACATCAGTAGCAGCAGCAGTGGTAGTAGTAGTAGAAGTAGTTGTTGTTGTTGAAATAGTTGTATTTTCTTCAGAAACACACACACAGTGTACGTGTATGTATAACACGTGCAAATAAAATTAGGATGAAGGTGATGACAACGACGATGACGTCAGCAATGATATTTATGATTGTTAGGCGAGAGATTGTTTTGTGGCTGGTTTACATCAGAAAATGTTTTTTCGACATTTCTGTTAATAATATTCATTCTTTATGTTGTATTCTCTCTCGTACGCATGTGTGTTTGTGTTCGTCTGTGCGTGTGTGTGTGTTTGTGTTTTCAGATGTGTGTGTGATTGTGCATGTGTTTATGTTTGCGTGTGCGTGTTCTTCGCAGTGCGTGTGCTTCGCTGGAGCGTTATTAATAACAGCGGAGAAATGGACAAATAAATTAAATATTATTAACCGTCAAAGTTGATTGGCAATTCTAGCAAAACATAAGCACACATTCACACACACACACACATTTTCACACATACTCTCACGCACTCACGCACACATTCACACACACATACACACACAAATCTATATTAATTTATATAGCAGTCAGATAATTGCACGCACATTTTCAATTTCCTTTTTAGCCGGATCTGAATAAAATTCATTAGTCGAATTTATTTGCCAAATAAATTACGGTTCGAATTCACTCAAAACCACACGCACACATACACACGCAAACTCACACACGCATGCACAAACATACACACTCATACACACACACACACACACACACACACACACACACATGCAATGGATATAATAAAAAAAATGTGTAAAGAAAGAAAAATGACTTGAATATATAATGCTAAAATTTTAGACTATGTAATGAAAAAGAAGAGAGAGAGAAAGAAGAGAGAGAGAAAGAAGAGAGAGAGAGAGCCAAAAAGAGAGCAAAGGAGTCATCAAAGATAGAGAAAGATGGAAGATAAGAGTCAAAGAAAGAAACACACCAGCAACAAAAATCAGGAAAGGAACAAAAAGAGAAAGAGAGAAAGTGGAAGATATACAGAGGGAGAAAAAAAAGAATGAGAATGAGGGAAAGAAAGTAAATGAATGAGAGAGAGAGAGAAAGAGAGAGAGAGACGAAGAGGTGAATAATGGTGGAACATGGAGAAAACAATCCCCTCATTGCCTGTTATAGCGAGCAGGCAGTAAACCTCTCTGGCAGGAATGAAATACAGCAACGCGCCATTACAGTTGACTATTCGTTAATGTCTCGCGCGAAATGACGAAATTATTGCCGAGCCGAAATGGCGAAATATTTTTATTCTCGCGACGTGCTCGTGTTCGCTTCGCTGGCTGGTTTGGTGCCGTGACGGTGATGCTGATGATGATAATGAGAGAGAGAGAGAGAAAGAGAGAGAAAAAAATAAAGGAGAGAAAAAGAGAAAGAAAGAAAAACGTTTTGTTTATGATATTTTTTCTTTATATAGTGCAAGAATATCACACTGTTATGACGGACACTATGCAAATCTTAATAATATTAATGATACATACATACATGCATGCATGCATACAAACATGCATACAAACGTAAATGTAAATATACATACAAACAAACATACAAACAAACAAACATACAAACAAACATACAAACACATGTTTATACAACGGAGCGTGGTTGAGGAGCACTTATTTTAATTGAAATTCTCAGATGAATGATTACGATGATAATGATGACGATAATGATGAAGGAACGATGATAATGGTACTGATGATGATTATGACTCTCTCCCTCTCTCTTTCTCTCTCTTTCTCTCTCTTTCTAAAAGTTTTCTTTGCGTAACAACTTCGGACTTTTTTTTCTTTGAACTTTTGTCATTTTTACTCAATATCTCTAATTCTTTTTCTCTTTCTTTCTTTCTTTCTTTCTTTCATTCTTTTTCTATCTCGTTATTTCTGTTCTTTCCCTGTATTCTTCTTACTCTTCATCATATTTTTACAATTTTTAATCTTTTAATCTTTCGGTGCTCCTGTCCGCGGTACGCAATACATTTCAGGTTTTTAAGTATTTTTTTCTTTTTCCCGCCAAAAATTCAAGTTTACTGAACATTTAATCTTATTTTTACTATGTTTCCCGCCAAAAATTTTGGTGTTTTATACATTTTATTTTTCTTTTCCCGCCAAAAATTTTTCCCGGGAAAATATTTTTTTTCAATCTTCTATCTTATTGGCCATTATTTATATTTACGACTGCTGGATGGATATTTTTACACAGACATTCACGCACGTAGAAAAACACACACATGCACACAAGCACACACACACATACACGCAAACACACACACATACACGCACATACAAATGCCCATACAGACTGACAGGCATAGGTATGCGCACGTAAACAGACTTTCTCAATTACTAAGGAATATTTAAGCATACATACATACAAACATACATACACGTTATCGAACTACGCTATATTAAACAATATTTTGAAGAAATAGAAGTTTTAAAAATAATTAATAACGAAAAAAGTTAATTTACTTTTAAGAGATTTCAATATTGGTTTATCATCAGAGAATAATGGCATGAACAGAGTTCAATTGAATCAAATTTTGACACGCTTCAACCTCTAGTCCATGACAAACATTCCAACAAGAATCAGTAATACAAAAAATACATTATTACAAACAAGTAATACATGTATGTATGTACATACATACATATATACATGCATACATACATACATACAAACATACTTACATATATACATACATACATACACACATACATATATACATACAAAATTTATCCCTCCAACGTTAATCACACACGCTAGCATACAAAAGTTGATGAATATACATAATTATTCATAGACCAAAACGCACATGTTTAATAAAAAATATACACATTCAGGAAGCAAAACCAGACACACACACGCACACATACATACACAAAAACCACGTGACATTGCATTACGTCACATGACATATCTACTTTCGTTACGGAGAAGTCGTGATAGGGTGAATGAAAATGAAGCAGAGAAGGAAGACAAAATCATCAACATTTGAAGGTATGGAGATATTTATGTATGTGTGTGTGTGTGTGTGTGTGTGTGTGTGTGTGTGTGTGTGGAGGAGGCAAATTGAAAAATGAATCTTACTTTATCGTTCGTCAGCAGTTTTCCACATCTTCCATCTTCATATCAATCATTTAAATGAATGCTCAGATGATTTTTACACACCTACACTCATACACATACAACACACACACGCACATACATACAAACGCACGTACACATATAATACACAAATACATGCACATTACTAAATGTATTGTTGGAAACTTCTTAGCACAATTCAACACAATTCACATTATATCTTACACACGATCACACAATCATTCATGAACGAAACAACATACACGCACACACACCACACACACACACACCACACACACACACACACACACACACACACACACGTACATACAGGCACATACACGCACACAAAATGTGTTGATGGATTCAATATTTAATTGAATCACATATGAGGCCGATGTAACTTAAGTATCTCAAATAAGTCTGTGAGAAAGACGCAATATTTTTTTGCTATTTGTATCTGATGAGATTGAGAGAAAGAGAGAGAGAGAGAGAGAGAGAGAGAGAGAGAAAAAGAAAGAGAGAGAGAAAAAAAAGAAAGAAA